TAGGGGACATTTTCGGACATTTTCTATTTTTTCTTGCCTTATTTGCTTAAACTGAAAACGATTAGCTACATCTCCGTGTAGACCCAGAGCTGTAGCTACTCTAGGTTACTATATATTGTTTCTCTGACTTGAGATCCTGGCTTGTGCACGCTGAATTATGTAGTTCACGTGAACGTGACACGCACGCGTATAGCAATCTGGATCCGGAAATCAACTCCTGTTGAGTGCGGATGACTCAGAGGACCTCAGGAACCTAGCCTCTGACTCATTACATATCAGTCTGACTCAGCCACAGTCAGTTCAACTCAGACAGAGTCACACAGAACATAGCAGAATATTCTATATGTACAATTAAATACACATATGTAAAATGCATAAAAGGCGGGCATACTCCCCCTTTTAGGGCATTCTATCTCTCACCAATACTATCATCTTGCCCACTCAATCGTCTGATTAAGTAAGCCAAACTCAATACTGACTCGCTCTATTCGCACTTGAGGAATTGCTATACGCTTCGCGCTATATTAATTCTTGTTGTCCTAAGTTTGCCATTGCCTTGCGCTAGCAGACACGTTGGCTACTGACTCGCTCTAGCTTTCGGCAATCTCAGTACGTTTGAACGATTCGTTTACGAGAAGCTTCTTAACCCACTTAACTCATCCTCTCGAAACATTTCTGGATATTTTTGAACTCCGGTAAACTCATATTTCCATCCGATTAAATACTGATTTTACAGTGCTCGTTCAGTTACACCAGAATTATCTCTCGTCACATAACAGACACAAAGGAACAACTCCGGCACAGCCTTGGGCTGGGGTTGTTATATCCGTGCAGCTTCCGAGCTATCCTGAGCTATTCCGAGCTTTTCCAAAGTTCCGAGGTTCCCGAGATCTTCCGAGGTCTCCGGGACTTTCCGATATTTCGGGCTTCCAGGTTTTTATGCAATGAAGGCTTACTGAGCATTTCTTGTTCATTCATCTTTTACTTCATCTTATTTTACTCATTTGCGGTCTTCACCACTCCGCACATCTCACTTGCGGCTTCTTCCGTTTAGGATTACCTAATTAGGAATTCTGACTTTACGGCCGTACATAATTATTACTTAGTATAAATATTCCATACACTTGTACTGTACGCTATCTGGAAAATTTAACGTTGTTCCATGCTTCCACTCATGGACTGAGTCTCTCCTTCGTCTTCATCTTCGCCTCGACTCCGGATCTATATTTAGATCTCCGGACGTCCTTTCATATTTCGACTTCTCCTACGCCCTCCGACGATCCGACGTCTCCGACTTTCCGCAACCTCTGCCGATCCGGGCCGATCATCCCTCCTCGGGATTTGCTATTTCGACATCACCGGCATTTGCCTCACCTTTTCCCTTGGATTCCGATCTCCGAGCCGACTCGGGCTATTTTCGAATTTCTCGGATCACTCGGACCTCGGCATTGGCCTCTTCCTCCTTTTGGAGTCCTCGGCCTCAGCCCTTCTTCCTTTCGGAGCCTTTGGTCATTTCAATGCCTCGGATTCCCGGATCACTCGGGCGTCGGCCTCGGGCCTCTGGCCTCGGCCTTGGCCTCTTCCTCCTTTCGGAGTCTTCGGCCACCGCCTCCTTGCCCTTCGGCACTTTCCACTTCTCGGGTCATTCCGTTGGCCCATCCAGGAATTCCTCGGAACATTTCCTTTGCTTCTCTTTTCGTTAGGTATTCTTTTCCAGCATTTCACATTCTCCCTCCGGTCGTCCTTCTATTTCCGAAGACTTCTGTATTTCATTCTTGATCTATTTTTAGATCTTCTTCCGGCCCTTCGGGACTTTACCTATTCATTCCTATTCTTTCCTTATTGCCCTTCGGCATTCTTCTTCGCTTTGCGACCATCATTGCCTTCGGGCGTGACATGGCATCAATCCTGTCACCATTTCCGGACCAGTATCATTTCAGGCTAGCCTTCCGTGTCGCATCGCACTTCCGTCTTGTCCCGGCTTGACAGCCAGACAGTTGCACACCCTGCTGAGTGTGGTGCTTGCGAGAACAAGCCAACCCCGGGACTTCCGGTCCTGCCCGGGTTTTTGGAACCTTCCGGTTTCGGACCTCATCGGGGCCTGTTGATCCTTCTTTGACTCAGGATATAACAGGAGTATAAATACTACAGCTGGTTTAGCAAAATGCATCTCATTTTCGGCCCGCATTCTCACCTTCTAAGCCTTAACCAGCTTAGGAGTAGCTAAAACCCGCCCTGAACATCACCTAGAGGTCACCCGCAGTCGAGTTACACAGTAAATCGACCTCGGCACTCCCTCGCCACCGTCAGACAGTGAGGCGGTTGGGAGTGCTCGGGGTCAGCCAACCCCGAGAAAGAGGCCCGTGAGAAGGTGGAGCGCAGGCAAGGGCGCAAGGAGGAGAAACGCGCGAGGCGAGAGCAGGAGGCCGCAGCGGAGGCTGAGCGGCAGGAGGAACGGGACCGGGTGGATGCGGTGCGGGAGCGGGAGATCGCGGAGACCCGCGAGGAGCTGGAGCGCCTCCGTGCTCTTTTGAGCATCGGAGGTGGGCCAGGGTCAGGACCCGTTGAAAGTGTTGAGAGGCCGAGGAAGTGCAAGTGCAAGGCGGCCGTGAAGGAGGTGACGCCGGGACCGAGTCGTCCCCAAACAGAAAGTGCCGACGGCCGGAACGGAGGGGAGGGTGGGGTCAACACGGAGGTTGACAGTCCTGTGGAGCAGGAAACACATATGTCGCAGTCTCTCTATCCCGACTTTCCGCTAACTTCCGTTGTATTTTCCAGGATGTTGTTAAATCCCGAAGTCGAAGTCGGAGGAATGATCCGCTGATCGGAAGGTTCCGGTGCCGGAGATCGGATGGCGGAGTGGAAGCTACGGATCAATCGCAAACACCACAGGAAGGTAAGGGTGTGCGTACTACCTGGACTGGCGAGAGTAGAAGTCGTTCCGATAGAAGTCGGAACTCCGGAGGACGGAAGTTAAGGAAGAGTTCAGGACAAGACAAGTAGTCAAGAACGTTAATAATCAAACTGAAGTTACATACAGGCATATGGAATATTTATACGAAGTCATAATTACGTACGGCCGTAAAGTCCATTTCTATATAAGGCAATCAGAAACGGAAGAAGCCGCAAGTGAGGTATGCGGAGTGGTGAAGTCCACTGTGATGTGGACTGCGGTGCTTGAAACTGCCAGATGGTGGGGAGATCCGGGCTATGTTTAATGCTCGTCCTCTAGGGGGAATTTGTTCTGTCGCGGTAGACAAGTACATAGGGAGGTTTAAATAATATTGGTGGGGATATCTATACAAGGATTCGAACAGTTGGTTCAAAATCCTACTAGCTAGGGTGGTCCGAGCGAACTCCGATGCCTAGTTAGCCTTCTCGGGTTAACGGAGATTGAATCTGTTCCACACTTCCTCGGGGAGGAGCTTCGGAAGGTGATGCGGGGTCCAATTCGTCAAGTCCGAGGTGAAATATGGATTTGGGGGCTTCCTGGACCACAAACCACAGTCGTCCGAAGTATCTTTGAGTCGTAGATTGTAAGACTGGGGGATTTATGTGTTCACAATAACTTTCTGGCAATTTCTCCTCCCTTTACCCCTCTTTGTGCCTCTACGGAGTTTCCTCTCTCTACTTCTCACCCGTTCGCTTGCTGAAGGCGACTTCCTGCGGGCTCTGCACCACCAACTTCCTTAGCTAGCAGCTACACACGAACTCCGAAGACCTTGTTGTGCTGTTTGAGAGATTTCACTGCCCTACTGACGTAGGGGAGGAATAGACGGTTCGATTATTCAGCGCTGAACTTTATGCTGAAATATAAACTCCGTTCGCTGTCTGATGGCGGCGAGGGAGTACCGAGGTCGCTTTACTGTGTAACTCGACTCCGGGTGACCTCTAGGTGATGTTCGGGGCGGGTTTTTAGCTACTCCTAAGCTGGCTAAGGCTTAGAAGGTGATGATGGGGGCCGAACTGAGATGGTATTTTGGTAGACTAGCTGTAGTATTTATACTCCAGCCCAAGGCTGTGCCGGAGTTGTTCCTTTGTGTCCCATACCTGCTCGCTCGCATGCTCCCCCCCGCCCGGAGTTCGCCTGTGACTCATTCCCGAACTCTGTGAACCCATACCCACACCATCTTCAGTCAGGCACCGATTCCACAACCCGGACTTGTTGGCCCTAGTCTCGGACACTCCATGTCTGGTCCTAACTCCCCTCCTATCCGGCTTCCGCCTGCGACAGCTCGATAGTGTAGTGGAAAACGCACTCCGTATCCTTTCACCCCAGTGTTTGACTTATGGAGAGTCCGGAGTTCGATCCTCCGTCGAGCCTTTTCCCTATGCTACCCACCTTTTTTGATTACCCGGAGTTCTCGTTCCATCCTTTCAGGCCGCTTGGTATTCACGACTCGATGGTGTAACTGTAACGCATCCTGCCATGGTTCTTGCACAAGCGCGTCTTTTGCAGGAAGTCCGGAGTTCAATCCTCCGTCGAGCCATCCCTCTTTTCCATTCCTTTTTTGTGCACCTCTTACCGGACCTTTGTATCGGTCGCACACATGGTCCAGTGGCGTAGCGGTAAGGCACTTTGTTCGCGTAGCTGGTGGGAAACTGAAATAATGGAGGGACCGGAGTTTGAATCTCCGACGGGCCGTTACGTTCTTTTTGTCCATCGAGTAAGAAGATAGGGCTCGTTTTTGAACGGTTCAGTGATGTAATGGTATCGCACTCCGCATTCCTATGTAGTTCACGGTATGCTTTACGGAGAGTTTGGAGTTCGATTCTCCGCTGAGCCATTATGAAGAAAACCCTTCTTTTTCATGGCGATAGTTTTGGCTGGTCGTTCGATTCCTACGGCTCAGTGGCGTAATGGTAACGCACTCCGTGATGATCTAATGGATTTTTATATCGATTTGATGGAAAGTCCGGAGTTCAATTCTCCGTCGAGCCATTCCGACGGAAACCCTTCTTTTTACAGTGATTGTCTTGGCTGGTCGTTCGATTCCTACGGCTTGGTGGTGTAATGGTAACGCACTCTGTGTACCTTGTTCACATATCGTTCGATGGAAAGTCCGGAGTTCGATTCTCCGTCAAGCCATGCATTGGGTCTGGATATCATTTTTAACTCGATGGCTTAAGCCGTTGTTCTCGGAGTTCGGTGTTTTGAGGTCACGTCGGGAGCTATCACAATGTGATGGCTCACACCGCTCGAGTTGAGTGCAATAAAATAAGAAAGTTAAAAATGGAAAACGCTCAGTAATCCTTCATTGCGTGAAAACCCAGTTCGGGCGGCGTCCGAAGATCTGGACGCTGGAACTTCCTGAAGGTATGGAACATCCCGGGAGTGACGGAACACATCGGGAGTTCAGGACGTACAGATATAACAGATGTGAACATTGTAGTCCTGGGGTTGGCTTGTTCTCGCAAGCACCACACTCAGCAGGGTGTGCAACTGTCTGGCTGTCAAGCCAGGACGAGACGGAAGTGCAATGCGACACGGAAGGCTAGCGCGAAATGGTGCTAGTCCAGAAATGGCAACAGGATTGATGCCATGTCACACCCGAAGGCAATGACAGTCGCGAAGCGAAGAAGAATGCTGAAGGGCGATAAGGAAAGAATAGGAATGAATAGGTAAAGGCCCGAAGGGCCGGAAGAAGATCTAAAAATAGATCAAGGATGAAATACGGAAGCCTCCGGAATAGAAGGACGACCGGAGGGAGAATGCGAAAGGCTAGGAAAGAATACCGAACGAAAAGAGAAGCAAAGGAAAGGTCCCGAGGAATTCCCGGAAGGGCCGACGGAATGACCCGAGAAGCGGAAAGTGCCGATGAGCAAGGAGGCGGTGGCCGAAGACTCCGAAAGGAGGAAGAGGCCAAGGCCGAGGCCAGAGGCCCGAGGCCGATGCCCGAGTGATCCAAGAATCCAAGGCATCAAAATGACCAAAGGCTCCGAAAGGAAGAAGGGGCCGAGGCCGAGGACTCTGAATGGAGGAAGAGGCCAATGCCGAGGTCCGAGTGATCCGAGAAATCCGAAAATAGTCCGAGTCGGCTCGGAGCTCGGAATCCAAGGGAATTGGTGAGGCGAATACCGGTGATGTCGAAATAGCAAATCCCGAGGAGGGATGATTGGCCCGGATCGGCCGGGAGTTGGGATCGTCGGATCGTCGGAGGGCATAGGGAGAGAAGCAAAGTCGAAATATGAAAGGACGTCCGGAGATCTAAATATAGATCCGGAGTCGAGGCGAAGATGAAGACAAAGGAGAGACTCAGTCCATGAGTGGAAGCATGGAACAACATTAATTTTCCAGATAGCGTACAGTACACAAGTGTATGGAATATTTATACGAAGTCATAATTACATATGGCCGCAAAGTCCGATTTCCATATTAAGTAATCAGAAACGGAAGAAGCCGCAAGTGAGATGTGCGGAGCGGTGAAGACCGCTCGAGAAGTACAATGAGAATAAAGTAAGTTTAAAACGGGAAACGCTCAGTAAGCCTTCATTGAGTAAAAACCCGGAAGCCCGAAATATCGGAAAATCCCGGAGACCTCAGAAGATCTCGGGAACCTCGGAACTTTGGAAAAGCTCGGAATAGCTTGGGATAGATCGGAAGCTGCACGGATATAACATACATGTATTTTAGTCAGATTGTATACAAGTAGAATAAAGGTTCAAAATACATATGTTACATTTTGACTATAAATGAAAGCAAGCCACAAGTCAGCCCCAGATGCCTAATTTGTCCAGCCCACTGCCGGTGTCAAACAGCCACCCTGTCATCGCTCTTTGTGCACATTGCCTTTATTAGTGAGCTACTACCCCTGTACATTGCCTTTGTCAGCATGGAACCATACCTGGGCATTACTGTTGATAAACTGAAACTATGCCTGAACACTGGCTTGAATGGGCTACAGGTATGGCCCGACGTTGTCATTGTCAGGCAACCGTCTCATCCACACATCTCCTTTGTCAGTACACAGCCACAGCTTTGTCCCTCAGGTGGCTCATCTTTGTTCCCACTTTGTCTGTCAGGACTATTGGGCGCTCACTGCACACCGCCTGCCGCCTGCCACCAAATCACATGATCACATTTCTGCTCCATAATTCCCAGAAAAATACTCATAAAATGCAGAAAAATGGCCTGATTCAGGTGCACCCAAAGCACCAATCTGCACTAATTATGGAGCAGAAATGTTAGGGCCGCTGCCCTGACATAATTGGATTAGGTCAATGGACTCTTGTAGTTGGCCATAGTTGGCCTTGTTTGGATCAGTCGCTACTGATCCCCAGTATATAAAGCGTGATATTGTATGTAATCAGGGACAAATCCCTTAACACTGTACCTTACACTACTGTGGTCAATACATCCCCAAGGGACGTGCTGGCTTAGCTATGTGAAACAGATAAGATATTCGTGAAGCGTCTGACGACGCTTAACAAGAAATGTGATCATGTGATTTGGTGGCAGGCGGGCAGTGTGCAGTGAGCACCCAATAGTCCCGACAGACAAAGTGGGAACAAAGATGAGCCACCTGAAGGACAGAGCTGTGGCTGTGTACTGACAAAGGAGATGTGCAGGTGAGAATCCACATATGGAAACTTCCCCAACCGTGGCTTGTCTGCAGCTGCTTCCCTCACCATGACCGTGACTGCATCCACACCCGATGGAGGCACCACTCGACGACAACGGCCCCCTATGTTTGACTCCTGCAACTTGGTACAGTAGCGCAGCGAGAGGCTACAACACGAGGGCCGTGCACCTACTGCAATGATTGGTACACGTTCGCCCAGCGCAGGCGCCGCTGAGGTGCGGCAATACTATCACTGTCCGGCACTGTGGGACTGCCTCTCACCGTGTCGCCATGATTGTGACAGGAGTGCACTCTGTGCGGTACTGTGCTACCCTGCCTAGCCTCTCACTCTGTGTAGCTATGGTTCCGACAGGGACGGGGTAGGTGGCTCCGCTACGTGCCTGACATTCAATGTGAGTTTAGCGGGTTACTAGTCATATATATTTTGGCGGGCCGGAATTTTCAAGTTAACAATAATGACAGTAGGGAATCTGGCAGCTTACCAGCGCCATAAAATAAGCAGAGTAATCAAGTAAATATGTCACTAAAATCACAGTCGCTTCGGCAACTGTGCGATGGCGGGTGGCGTGCATGGGTGGGTAGCTCTTGGATAACTCTGCAGATGCGGGCAAACCCTAATTCAGGGTTGGCCCTGGACCCTAGGGACAGTTTTTTCCCCTTAATAACCTAACCTAACCCTAACTAAGGCTGGGTTGAGATGGAGGGGGAGGGTGTGAGTGCACTCCAGAGTCCTTCTCGTGATTATGTGCTACCAATTATCGAATTTATTGGGGTTATAATCCCGAAACTAGGGCACAGTGCCCTCCTCTACTCCGGAAGTTGGTTTCAACGAACCCGAACGAGTTGAGCTGTAAATACCGAGCCGATTCCGATCCCAGCGGTAATCATACCATGGGAGTTCATATTCGATGCTTACACGGCGTCAGAACCAGCGGCTGGCACAGAGAAATGTTTGCTGAAGGGGCACCTGGGAGGGGATGGCTTTTATATTGGGGGAGGTTGTGAAATGGATCTAGGGGAGCTATAGCGGCGAGAACTGGACAAGTCGCGTGCAACCTGGTGGGATGTACACCTGTGCACGGAATGTCAACTTTGGAGGAAAATTGACCCACGTCATAGTCTCGTATGGCATCACCGGGCTGCGAGCGCTATCGGATTCATGTAGAGACTTAAGTGGGTATGGATTTAGGCTATTCTACGCCCGCGTGCGCCCGCAATTTACGCCCCCCTGAGGTATACTCACAGTATTTACTCTAGCAGCGTGTATGCATGGCCTCAAGTCCTGTATTTTCGCAAGCAAGGGTTTTAAAGCACTGGGAATTCAAAAATGGTGGGCTCGCAATACTCGAAACAGCCTACAGCAAAGATACAGATTTCTTGTCCAGAACTCGATTTTTCCAGAGGGCAAACCCGTCTCCACACTCGAGATTACAGAGGGACCTGATACTGTCCTGGACCATGAAGATGTGATAATTCCCGAGATGGCTGCTTGTCTGACCACCATGCAATCGCGCACATCAAAATGAGCAATAAAGCAAGTATTTGTGGTATGAAGGCCTACCCTGTCGCGGCGGTCCGAAAGCTCATAATAGAAATTGTTTAGGCGGTCGGCAGCATATGATAGATTTATAATTATGCGAGGGTCGTGAGCACTGCATGTCCCGGTGTGATATTTTGGTAATTGAGGAAGTCGGAGGACCCCGACCTTCATGAGAGCAGCAGCGGGCCTGATATTTTGTCAGCTTGTGCTTCGATATGCTATCAACTCAGGAAGGCGCCTCACAATATTCGGAGGGAGGCTCCACGGACATAGTGAAATTTGGCTGGTTTGCGGACGATGTTGATGCAAGATCAGCACATAGGGAGAAGATCTCGGGATACCCAAGGAGACACCCAGGGGAAACCTACCGAAAAGAAAACCCTGCAAGCAAGGGAAATGTCTATGCAGTTGGAACTGTAGGTTATATCGGTGGCTGTGCATCATGATCAGAGCACGGCAACACTGACTTTTATGAACGAAAGCGTTGCCGGTGGGTTGCAGGAAATCAGAGAAGAGATAACTTACACTGTTGTCCGACTTCAACACCTTGATCGCGCTCGAGTCAGTGGGGAGCGGCAGGTGGGGGATGTGATGGGAAGAGGCAGGAGGCGAAGACAAGACTCCTAGCTTTTGACTGGGTGTAGAACAGTTGATTGAACAGTCATGCGGGTGATTCTAAATAAATGATCCACAAACCCGGGTAGTTTCTAAAAGGTAATCTGTGATTTGGGGGTCAACTGAAATGGCCACGCAATTATAACGGAACGAAGACGAGCCAGCTGCTGTGCGACTTGAGGAACGAGGGTAAGAAAAAGAGGACCGAGCAGGGGGATGGACGGATGCATCGTGATAAGAGGCATCTGCTTCAGATACGAGTAATAATTTGGGACACGTATCAGAATTGTTGAGGGACCACAGGAAACCCGGGGTCCATGCTTCGAATGAGCATGGGACAATCCATGCTGC